AGATGCCTACAAAGAAAGACATAAAATCTCTAAACACATAAACACCAATTTATAAACATTCAAGAACAATAACGAAAGGATGAAATATGAAATATGAATACTTCTTTAAAATGCCACCCAAAGCCTTTCCAAGAGATCTATTATAAATTTTGCTAAACCCTCGGCATATATCCTCATCCGACATAACCAAATTGAAAGGATTACACATGGAAACTGCACCAGAAAATCTCCTTGCACCAGACTCCTGCAATGTAAGAAGAAGTAAGAACACACTTTTTTTTGTATTACAGTAGTAGCTTCTTCAATCTTTAAATTCAAAGAAACAGAAATGGTAGAATGAATTTCTACCTTCCCCAAGTATTGAACAAGAATGTTTGCTCCCATGGACCAACCAGTGCCGTATAAATTGGCTTTAGGGTACCTGGTAGTAATGTGTCCTACTACTTCATCAAGATCTCCTAAAAATGAAGCCGAATACATCTGCATAAGCATAAATGGGAATACAGTCTCCTTGTATAAATGGCGATAACCGTTTTTCAATAGATCAAGTACTTCAAACTGTTCAACATAAACATAAACATGCCTGAGGTGTGGTAACAGGGCTATCGGCACAGCCACGGCTGTTGAATACCACCACGCGCCACCCTCTGTTTCTTGCTCTCACCAGCATATGCCGTACATATGCATCTTGGCTTCCTCCCGACAAACCAGGCTGCAAAATTAGTACGCAATGAATGGTGGGTTTGCATTTTGAAAGTTGAATTTGAAGAGGGGGGAATGTGGACTGACGAGTAAGAGTAGGATAGGGGAGTTTTCCGGCAAGTTGCGCGCATCGCCGGAGACCCAATCGAGGGTGACTGTTCCGTCGTCTTGGGTTCTGAGGCACTCGCGTTTCAACTTCACATCGGGGATTTTTCGGAAGAAAGCGGCGAATATGGTCTCGAGGTGGCAGTTTGACCCGAATACCGGAAAGGAATTGTACGGACGGTCCAAATGAGTCTTGATGATTGGACAGAAGGAGTCACAAGCTCCACCCAGAACTTCCAGCGACGGGTGATGGTCTATGAATTGATCCGCCGTCGTTCCTGTAACAGCGACGGGGGTCGCCATGGTTGCAGGTAGTCTAACGCGCGATTGCCGGAGCTTTAGCGATTTGGCGAATAGCGACTGGGTGGTGAGATTTGGAGCTACTATCGCCATTATTGGATGATCCGCAGAAATCATGTGTCCATCATAGCTCAAGAAGTCACCAGACTTATCATTATAATATAAGGTATATGATAAACGTGGTACAAGGTACAAACTTGAGTTATATTTGAACAACCACATAAACCTTTTTCGTGTTTCAATAATAGATAATAGAGAAAATGACTAGAATTGCTGGGAGTAAAAATAATGAAACTCAAAAAGTTCCAAAGACTTTAGATTCATAACATAAATGTTTTTAACAACAAACATAAATATAACAAGACAAAATGTATTGTAAAGAAGATATATCATATGCCTTCCTCGATGTACTTTTTTTTCTCCTCTTCGGTCATAAATGCTGTAATAGGAAATGATTTTCCAATCCCAACAGGAATCTTGAAATATATTTTCTTACTATTAGCATCTTCCATGCTCATCTCAACAATAGGCACCCACATTAACAATTGTTTACTTTTGATCCCAGTCATTTTCTTCATCTTAGATTTTTCAACGTACGCAGTCACCTCTGTATCATAACTGACACGGGTATTAGTCTGCTCAAAGAAGTGTTCGTATGGAGCCTTTAGCTTCATCCAAACAAACCCAGTCTCTCGAACCCGACCACATTCTTGGAGGTCTTTAAGTGGAAGAACGCCTCTAGGGAAACCAAGCTCCTTGAGGAGCTCGATTGAGTGACTGTAGCACTCTTCGGACCCATATACGATCTCGGCTCCGGCTCTCTGTGCTTCCATTTCCTCGAAGAAATTGGTATGAAGTTTTTTTCTTTACTTTGTGATGTGAGCTTAGAGTTTTTGAGTGAAGAATGAAGGTTTAATATGCATATATAGTTTTGTTAGGAGAAAGGAGTAGATGTCTAGATGAGCTACAAATTGAATCATGTTGAAACTTGAAAGGGTTGGTTCACCTAATTGGATGGCTATGGCCAATTGCATCGATTTGTTTGGTCGTCTAACAGAAAAAAATAATATTAAATAAATAAAAATAATTAAAGTGGGGTGGCGTGGCTAGCTTGATTGCATCCAGTTATATATGATAGCTGTAAACATTTTTATGTAGTTGACATCTATTTCTTTTAGGTAGCAAAATATGTTTGTTTGTAAAGTTGAAAGAGCGAGCAATGTGTATGTTGAAGGAATGAGCAATTTGAAAGGACAAAAGTAATTATTATATTTTCTTTTTTGTCTGAAGTTACTGTATAATATAAAATGTTTGGTTGATAGACGTTGTTGTGGAAATTCCTAAGGAAGAAAAAAGTTTTAAGCTTATTAATTATTTAAATAAAAAATATTTGACATAATATAATATTATAAATTCAATCACATTTAGTTATTAAAAAAATATTAGTAACGTAAAATATTTTATTTTCTAAAACGGGTTACACATATATATGTAAGAAGGAAAATAAATAATAACAATGAGATTTAGAAATCACTGTATAACAATTAAAATTCATAATAAAAGAAAGTTTGGTTAATATGCTAACAAAGTATTCGTTTTGTGCTCATATGGTATCTTATCACTTTTTTTTTTTTTTTGCATTGTAAGTCACTAAATTTTTAAATTTGGTGTCGAATAAATATCAAGTTGTCATCTTCTTCTTTTTTCTCCGCCGTACGTCATAGAAGAGAAAACCGATGGGTGTGTGTTTTAAACAACGTTAGGTTGCTGGAATTCGTAGAATTTTTTTGGGCTCCTAAAATCAGCTTTACTGGCTCATTTAAAGAAAAAGAAAGTGGGCTTTTCTGGACAGATTTGTCACTGTTATTCATGAATCCGGAAAGGTGCATCAGCATTCACCCATCAAGGCATCAAGCAGACTTTGTATAATCCAATATTATTGTAGATTAATTGTGTAAAAATGGTTTTCAATTATTGTTTAAAACTATTGAATATATATATATATATATATATATATATATATATATATATATATATATATATATATATTCTTGACACACATTAAATTTTGTAAATAAACATTATGTTGTATATTTTCATACTGTTTTTAATTGCACTTTAAACATCTAATCATTTTAGGCAAATGATTTTAAAACTTGGGTTAATCTAAAAAAAAATTATATTTTGTGTTATTTACGGATTAAACCTCAAATTTATTTTTTATTTGAAAAAAACATTGTATTTTTTTTTTTCAAAAAGACCCTCAACCTTGTATTTTTTTTTTTCCAAAAAATGTTTTAAATGTTTCCAAATAAACCCTAAATTTTTTTGTTTTTCTCAAAAAAAAACCCTCACATTTTAATTTTTTTGGCAAAAATGACAAAGGGCCAAAACGAGAAAATGAAAAAATACAATAGTTTTTCAGGCAAAAAATAAATTTAAAGTTTAATCCGGAAAAAACAAAAAATATAAGTTTATCAATCACGTAGGGATGCATGAAAAACCCCACATAACGATAGTGTTTAGACGATGGGTTCAATCCAATATTATCGAAAGAGCCGATAATATTTCAGTTTATCAATCACGTAGGGATGCGTGTTTAGACTGAATACTCGAACCTGAACGCGAACCGAACCGAATCAAATTAGGATTGAATAAGCTATCTGGTTCGGTTCTCGAGTATTTCGGTCTTGATTACAGGAATAATTGCTTAATCGGCTCTAAAAAACATACCGAATAATCTGTTTGGTTCAGCTCTCGGGTATATATTATAGGCTTATTCTTATTTTAGTTTGGGTGTTTAATGCTTAATATTTAACTTATATATTTATATATGAATTTTTTGGTGTTTAATGTTTAGTGCTTAATATATTGTTTTCATATTTATATCTCAATTTTTGGATGCATATAATTTGTAGTTACATATAATCAATTAATCAATTGTGATTATTTTCTTATAAATGAATTGATATGAGTTAACATTTAACTATAACATCATAACATGTTAAAAAGATAAAATAAAATTGTTATTTTAAACTTGTGAAACCCAACGATAGAAATAGTTTAATACATCTGAAAATATATTTTATTACATTTCTAATACCTTAAATAATCAGAAAAACGGCTCCCTAAGTTTTTTATTAAGTAGTATACAATATGGTTTATTCGGGTCTTTTCGATTTTATCCGGTTCTATTTGATCTTTAGTCATATTGAAATACTATTCAGTTTATACGGGGTAATAACCAAACCAGACTGATTAATATTTGGACCTAATCAGACATATATTGGTTTAATCGGTCTGGTTTTCGGTTCCTCCAATAAATTTTATTCGGTTTTCGGTTTATTCGAATCCAAATAGTTTTCGACCCGAATAACATCTCTAAGTCAAGTTGCAATATGATAGATCATGATCCAACGTAGTATCCGATTTTAAAATATTGTTAATTGTTTGCAGTATGTAGTATGTTTATTTTATATAGTACTAGATTTAAAAAATGATATGTTATTTTGTGAAAGTTATATATTTAGAATTTTCACATCAGATGTTATGAAATTGAAATGCATGTTTTTTTATTAAAACATGGGAAAATGACCTTTGAGGGTAATAAAGTGTTCTATAAGTACTCATTTGGTCCTTTATCTTTTTTTTTTATCTTTATTATACCACTGAACTTACTAATCCTGCTCACCAAAACCCTCGATACCGGTTATCTCTTGTTATGTCGTTTATCTCATTTAAGTAGAGATGACATGTCGTATTACGTGGACCTAGACCACGTTGCAAACCCATTACTCTTTCACCCCCAATTCTCCTTACAGTTAGGGTTTAATCGAAGAATACAGTTACGAAATTGAAGAGAAGTGGTGAATGCGAGTGTTACAGTGAAGAAGATGGCCTCAGATTCCAAACTCCGTAAGTATTTGACAGTTTATGTACATTATAATGGTTTATTCGCACCAAAACCATTAGTGTACTTGAACTCTGTTGTTGTTTCAATCGCTGATGTTGATTTTGGTGCAATGGATCTCAAAGATTTTAAGTTGTTCATTGAAAAGTTGATTGAAGGCAGTTGCGATAATGTATATTATTGCACTAGAAATGAACCATTGGCAGAGGGTATTAGGAGAATTGGGAATGATGCTGACTACTATGAGTTTATTGAAACGGGTTATAGTGATGAAGTTGGTCTAATAATGAATGTGTATATAGACTACAAAAATGAACCTGTACTTGATTGGGCTGATATGGAAGTAGTAGAAGATGATGAAGGGCATTATTCTGATCCAAACGTGGATAATGATAAAGAGTCACAACTTTCTGATGATATTCCATATGAGCATGAAGCAGATGGTTACATTCCTTCTCTTGACAAAACTATTGGTGATGAATTCTTACACCGGGTGTCAGGTATTTCTAAGGATAAAAATGATGAGCTTGAAACTGATGAGGTTGAAACCAACAATGGGGATGACAAACCAGTGTACCCTGTCCATAATGAGAACCAGAAATGGGACAAAATGGTGCCAATTCAACGTATGAGATTCTCTAACCCTATGGAATTGAAAAATTGTTTGACTAACTATGCAGTGAAGATTGGGTACAATCTTTATTATGAGAAAAATGATAGTCAGAGGTTATTAGTGAGATGTTGTAAAGATAGAAAGAACCCCTCTTGTGCTTTTAGACTGTGGGCTTCCTGGATGAGTAGTGAAAGGTCTTTCCAGATTAAGTCCTTAGTTGATGACCATAACTGTTCAAGAGTCTTCAAACTTGGTTCCATTGTAACATATAAATGGATTAGAAAGCATTTTTCTTTTGACAAAATTGTTGGTGATGAATTCTTACACCGGGTGTCAGGTATTTCTAAGGATAAAAATGATAAGCTTGAAACTGATGAGGTTGAAACCAACAATGGGGATGACAAACCAATGTACCCTGTCCATAATGAGAACCAGAAATGGTACAAAATGGTGCCAATTCAAGGTATGAGATTCTTTAACCCTATGGAATTGAAAATTTGTTTGACTAACTATGCAGTGAAGAATGGGTACAATCTTTATTATGAGAAAAATGATAGTCAGAGGTTATTAGTGAGATGTTGTAAAGATAGCAAGAACCCCTCTTGTGCTTTTAAACTGTGGGCTTCCTGGATGAGTAGTGAAAGGTCTTTCCAGATTAAGTCCTTAGTTGATGATGTTCAAGAGTCTTCAAACTTGGTTCCATTGTAACATATAAATGGATTGGAAAGCATTTTAAGAATCAACTTTTGAAGAACCCCAAAATGAGCATAAGGAAAATGAAAGCCAAAGTGAGTACAAAGTTTAACTTGATTGTTAGTGTGACTCAATGTAGAAATGCTAGGAGATATGCTTTGGATAAGATAGAAGGTAGCTTGATAGAACATTATGGTAGAGTATGGAGTTATAGTGAAGAAATAGTGAGGACAAATCCTGGTTCAATAGTAAAGATGGATGTGGATGTCATGCCTGATTCCACCACTTACTTTTCTAAAATGTATGTTTGTTTTAAGGGTGTGAAGGATGGTTGGATTGCTGCATGTAGGAGGGTAATAGGGGTAGATGGTTGTTTTTTAAAGGGTATATGTAGAGGCCAACTGTTAGCAGCTATGGGTAGGGATACAAACTATTGCATGGGCTGTGGTGCCAGTAGAAAATAAGGAAACATGGAAGTGGTTTCTTGACATCCTACTAGATGATATTGAAATGGGAATTGGTTATGGATTGACCCTCATATCATACCAACACAAGGTATATTTTCTTTTATGTTTTGTTTGAGTTCAATGTTTTTTCTTATGTCATCCATTTCTGGTTCCTCTTAGGGATTGGTAGAGGTTGTCAAAGAAAGAGTTCCAGTAGCAGAGCATAGATAATGTGCTAGGCACATCTATGCTAACTTCAAGAAAAGATTCAAAGGTGAACAATATAGGAAGTTGTTTTGGGCAGCTGCTGCAAGTACTACTCAACCTAAATTTGAGGCATAAATGAATTCCATAAAAACAATTGAACCTTTAGCTTATGAACACCTCATGGAAATGGACCCTAAAAGTTGGTGCAGGGCATTCTTTGAAGTGGACAGGGCTTGTGATGCTTATGAGAATGACATATCAGAAAGTTTCAACTTAGTTATTGATCTTGCTAGGAAGAGACCACTCCTTACCATGTTGGAAGAGATTCGAATTTATGGAATGGAGAGGATGTATAGAATGCTGCTAGAGGGACAAAGTTGGGGTAATTTAAAAATATGCCCATATATAAGATTAAAGATATCAAAGTTAAAGAAACAGCAAAGGTATGATATAACTTGTATTTTATATGTATTAATATGTTATCTAGTAGATTAATAGAACTTGTTATTTTTGTGGACAAATTTTGGGGAGTTATACCTTCTGGGGTACAAAAATATGAGGTTAGGATTGGAAATGACGGATATGTTGTGGACCTTAACAACAACACATGTGGATGTAGATCTTGGCAAGTATCAGGTATCCCATGTGTGCATGCAGTGGCAGCCATTTCATACCTCAACAGGAATGCAAAGGATTATGTTGCACCATGGTTCCATACAGCCATGTTCTTGACTTGTTGCAAACATACCATTAACCCACTTAATGGTAGTTCCATGTGGCCTGAAGCTCCTTACATGAAACCATTGCCTCCTCAAAAAGAAGGTTACCAGGAAGGCCAACCCTTAAAAGGAAAAAGGATCAATCTGAGATGGAAAGCAAGGGGAAAACAAGGCATACTATCTCAAAAGCAGGTTCAGTTAATAGATGCACTATTTGTAGAGAAAGGGTCCATAATAGATCAGCATGTCCTACTAGACCAGCAGATGTAGCATCCACTTTAAGGCCAAAAAACAAGAAACCTAAAAAATGTAAAAAAGAGAAAGGTATGCTATTAAAACAATATAATTTAAATAGAACATCCAACTCATTAACTACATATTTGTATAACAGGTAAAGTGGAACCAGTTCAAGTGGATCCAGTTCAAGCAGATCCAGTTCAAGTACCAGCTCCACATGTTGAACCAGTTCAAGCAGATCCAATGGATCCAATTCAAGTACCAGCTCCAAATGTTGAACCAATTCAAGCAGATCCAGTGGATCCAGTTCAAGTACCACATGTTGAACCAGTTGATGATCCAGCTCCACATGTTGAACCGGTTCAAGTAGATGATCCACATCCAAATGTTGATGTCCCTGCTCAACCAGTTGCAACTAGGCAGAGGATACGAAAATACTCAGAAAGAATTACCAAGATAGGGTTGAGGAGGAAGGTTTTGAAGAAAGAAGGAAGCACTACACACAACCCAATGGTGTTGGAATGATTTTATGTTTTAATTTTTTTGGTAAGACAAACTTTTAGTCTTGTAATTATGTAATTGGGAAAACTTTAAGAATCATGGCACATGGCACATCTTTTGACATATTAGGACAACTGTGGGCACAACTTTTGTAATAGTGCACATACTGATGGAATATTACAACTTTGTCTTTTATCTATATGCTTTGGTGTACGGTTATTTGCATATAGATTATTTAATCTTATATTATCTATCATAAATCAAGTAGATTTAGTATTAATACATTAAGCAATGTTTGATGTTGTTGTTGTTAATCTGGACCATTTTACCCTTGGATCACATCAACACATTAACAATTGATTACTGCCAAATTTAATCTGGACCATTTTACCCTTTAATCACATCAAGACATTAACAATTGATTACTGCCAAATTTAATCTGGACCATTTTACCCTTGGATCACATCAAGACATTAACAATTGATTAATGCCAATATTTAGTCTTAATACATTAAGAAATGTTTGATGTATCCAATGTGGTTAATCTGGATCGTTTTACCCTTGGATCACATCAAGATATTAACAATTGATTAATGCCAATATTTAGTCTTAATACATTAAGAAATGTTTGATGTATCCAATGTGGTTAATCTGGACCATTTTACCCTTGGATCACATCAAGACATTAACAATTAATTACTGCCAACTTTAATATGGACCATTTTACCCATGCACCATGTCCAATTCACTAACATGTTAAACACATTAATACTTCTTGGAAAGCACTCAAATTAAACATCAAACTATCATTAATCAAATAGATTTAGTCTTAATACATCAAACAAATTACAACATTAAGGATTACATTTAGTCTTTGAATACAGCTAAACTAACTACTTCTTAAACACAAATAACAGAAACAACATAATCATCACAACTTTATGAGTAAATAACTTCCATTTGAGTTTTTCAAACTCTTGTCTAACAACCAAGTTTTCTTGTTCCATCTTCATCTTACAAATGCTGATCTCATTTTCCAATATAGAAACTTTGAGGGTTAAATTGCATAGTTCTTTTTTGTACTTCCCATAATTGACTTCATTTTCAGGGGTTTCAGGCTCCAACCATTCCCAGAACTTGCATTTTGGTCCTTCATTCTTGAAAAAAAGTAACAAATTGGTTAAAGAAAGAAGATTAAACGAAAAGTAAAAAACATTTGGTTCGTGAAGAAGATTAAACGAAAAGTAAAAAACATTTGCTTTACCATGGAGTTAGGGCACAATCTGAATTTTTTTCCTGGATTGTCTTTAGTTCGTGATGTTCGTACACGAGATGGTAACCCACAGTAACAAGGATTTTCAGGTTGAAATTCAGCATTTCGTTTGGAAGAAATAGAAGAAGAAGAAGAAGAAGAAGCATCCATGTCGATCTAGGGCAAGAACGATGCAATACTGTAACTTTGCAATTAATAAGCCTAGTTTATCGCACATAATGCCTTGTAATATCCACATAACTAGTAACCTACAACAACCGGTATCGAGGGTTTTGGTGAGCCGGATTAGTAAGTTCAGTGGTATAATAAAGACAAAAAAAGATAAGGGACCAAATGAGTACTTATAGAACACTTTATTACCCTCAAAGATCATTTTCCCTTAAAACATTAGCATAAAGCTGACATATATTTTATCTATTTAGAATTCATTAGCATAAAGTTGATATATAATTTATTTCGGTACATGCACTAACGTTGGGATTATAAAAGAGAGTGTAAAAGACAATTAGGCTCAAGGCAATGGCTACGTAGAGAGTATAGACCATAGTCTCCTTGCCACATCAGCCGGAACAACGCCCATTGGATGCGACTAGGGCTGCAGTTCGGTTGTGGGATGGAGCGCTTCTTCTTTAATTGTGATTGGCTAGATTTTTTGACTGTTTCAAATCATCACAAATTTCAAATTAACTATTATTTATTTTATTTTTTTACACTTTACCACTATATATACATACATATACCATCAATATTTTTTAAAAAAATTCTCTCAATTCTCTCATCTTTTACAAACTTCAATTCCAAAAATTTATAAAAATGTCTTTTTTAAACAACCTAAATAATCAAATATTTGTAGTGTTTTATTTAGGTTCAAGATTTGTAGTTTGTTTTTATTTTTAATGTGATGTTATGTCTTTTTTTTTTTCAGTTAAATGTAATGTAGTGGGTTTATTTTTATTTAATTAAATATTATGTTTTTAATTAACAATATAGTTTTTATTTATTAAACAAAAAAACATAGTGTAGCACCACTCATTGTGTGTGGTATGGAACCACGCTTTTATGGTAAATGGTGAGGTGACGTCTATGTGGGCTATTTCATCTGTTATGGGCCATGGATATATTGGTTGGGTCTTATTGGGCCAAGAGGTCCGTTAATATTTTTTGGACTTGGATTTTGGGCCCATTAGCAAGGGAAGGATAACTGGGCCTCATGGATGGGTTTGGAGTTTAGGTTTTTAATTTGACTAATCTAAGGTCCTAACATTGATTAATATTATTATTCAGCACATGAGATTCAGACTGTTAGGAGAGCAGCTTTTGTATTCAGCAGACAAAGGTGAGTCTCTTCACCATACCAATGGGTCGAAGGCACCAAGGCCGGCCCATCAACTGTTATGTATATGCTATTTGGACTATTTGATATGTAATGTGCTAGTTGTTTATGTGTATTGTGTATGGAAGACCTCGGGGGGTTCTTGATTCACTTAGGTGTAAGACCTTGGAGGGTTTCCTTGGCATCCTAGGTCAAAGACCTAGGGGGGTTCCCGAGGCACTTAGGTGTAAGACCTTGGAGGGTTTCCTTGGCATCCTAGGTCAAAGACCCCGGGGGGTTCCTGAGGCATTGGGCTAAGACCATGTGGGGCTTCTTATGGTATCCGGAGTAAGACCCTGGAGGGTTTCCAGGGCTTCCTTATGTGTTATTTACATGGCTTATGTGTTATGTATAGTTTTTAGCTAGCATGATATGGTGTATGTGTTTGTGTGTGGGTGTGCTATGGGGAACTCTCTAAGCTTTCAAGCTTACCGTTTGTGTATTTGTTTCAGGTACATCTGAGCCCAAGGGAAAAGGCAAGGCGTGATGGCGCGGCGTGCACTCTATCTCTCTTTTTCACTAATATGTTTTGGGACACTCTGATGATTTAAACAAAGTTGTAATGAATGTGGATTTGAAAACAATTATGTTGGAATTTCATGGTTTATGTAAGCGTGTTTACTAATTAAAAATGAAAATTTTCTTTGTAAAATTTGGGTCGTTACAAGTTGGTAGCAGAGCCTTGGTTTGAGGGATTCGGGCAAACTATCGAGTGTGTTAGGACTCAAACTAAGGAAATGGTAAAATTGTTTTCCAAAAAGTAACTTAAAAAAGGTTTTTCAAAATGAAATGAAAATATGAGAGTGCAACGCGAGTGATCATCCGAGGCAATAAGTAGTTCCCCAATATGTTAGCCCTGTCATACTGATATTTGAGCTTGTTGATTATATGGAACTTGCTGTGTGTATGCTTTTAAATTGTATACGGTTAGGAGCTTATAGCCTCAAAATGATCGATTTGGCCTTATTTCTTGTTCTTTGTTTGGTTGTGGTCCTAGGGTAGAATCTTTTATTCAAAAGTCTATTTGATCCTTTTTCTGTGTACAATTTGCATGCCTAAAGGCAACCTGCCATGATTGGTTAGATTAATGTGAGTAGAGTAAATCTTAGGACGGCCTGAGATTTGATGTATGCGGTAGTCGTGGAATATGGGTTAGTTCTGGAACAAATTGGGGTTGTCAGGTAGGGATTTGGGGAAAGGTACAAATAGGTGTGGAAGGTAGTATTGGGCCCGTACTACTGGAAGCACAGGACTTGTACCATAATATCCCATAAGTCAACTAGTCAACCCTTGGTCAAAGTCCAAGTCAATGATCAAGGTCAACATTTCATGTTGACCCGACTCGTCGAGTGTAGTTCACTGACTCGTCGAGTCCTCCCTAAACTCGAGAAGTCGTGAAATCCCCCATCTACTTGTCGAGTTTCCCTGCAACTCACCGAGTTCAGGCATGATCCAGAAGTCGGGAAAACCGTAGCTGACACGCCAAGTCCTCATATGAACTCGCCGAGTTGATGCAAAAACTCTTGCACGACAATCTTCTTCGGACTCGCCGAGTTGGCCATGCAACCCGTCGAGTCCCTTCAGTCCTTACTCCATTCAGATGCTTATTAAGCCATTCCAAAGCCCCACATTGCAGATCTAAGTTGCTAAGGCATACTTCTTACGTAAAGTTGCAAACTTTACGTACATACAAGGTGCTAATGACTTAAATTAAGCTAATGAAGAGATTATAGACAAGGGGATTACACTAGCATGCTAAAGACTGTGACTTTATGATTGTAAGGGACAAGGTAAGGCTAGATCTGAAGTTGTAACCTCAGATCTTTGTTCGTCACTCGAAATGAAGTATCAACACACCAAAATGGCCCTAAAACTCAAACATTAAAGGATCTAGCTGGAGGAAGATCAAGGTAGCGACTTGATACCTTCAAATGATGCTAAATTGGGGTAGACTTCAGATCCACACACGTTCCTTGCCTCAAACTAATTGATCTTCAAGCTCCCCTCACCAAGATCCACATTTTAAGCTTAACACACACAATTATGGAGAGAAAATGGTGATTTAGGGTTTCTGGACTCACAAGGGACTGTAAGGGAGGCTAAGGGAGTCTAATGACCCTTTAAATAGGGTGCAAAACCCTGGAAATTTGGGTTTCATCCTCCAGCTCCAACTCGTCGAGTCATGTCTCCGATTCGGAGATTTGGTTATTTAAAACACGTGGCCTTAAATTCCTGCTCGACGAGTCAGGGCATCAACTCGTTGAGTAGACATTTTAATATGAGAAAATAAAGATTTAAAATTAATATCTGGGAGTCGGGATGTTACAAACATGTGCCCTCGTATCTTAACCTTTTAATTTTTTAATCCAATGGACGAGATTCGGTCATACATTTACAAAACATTTGTAGTTCACATTTGATCTATATATATATATATATATATATATATATATATATATATATATATATATATATATATAATGTTATGCTATGTACGAACCAGATATGGCTCTATTTTATGTTAGGATAAATAGATAATACTATATACTGATATTAGAAGTAACTTTGTTGTAAAGACAAATGAATAATAATACATAATACTCTATATGGAATATATATACACTAAAGATAGGTTAATGTCACCCAAGAATATAGTTGGTATTAGAGGTTGGTTACAGACATCGTAATCTAGTCTAGGGAGAGACTTAGACTTATGGAAGATACCTAGTTCATTTAATTTTGATATTGGGTAGTCTCATTAGGAGAATGTGTGTAAGCTAGGAACGGAGAGTAAATTTGTGTTCCATGACACTCTCAGGTGTCGATGTACAATAACTTTGTACGGGAGTCGCTTATAATATTCCCCTTGGATGACCAAAAATGTTGAGTCCAGATCAGGCAACTGTAACGGTATGTTTGGTCACCTCCAATAGTAGGTGAAAACACTTGATCATTCTAGATAGTCTTGTGAATTACGTTGGTGGTGTGAGATCATTTCTCACAGACGTAGATGAAATGGGATACCATATTCGTCAAATACTCTGATGACCCATATGTCTTTATGACTGCATCAGCCAAGAAGCCCCTAGCCGAGTAGTTAAGCTTTTAACCGTTCATCAAGAGAGATAATTTCTCCCTAATAATTTGTGAGGATTGATATGAATGGATACACATATATGGATGTTGTATGGTAATGGTTGATTTTGCAGGCCTGATAATTAATGAATACTATCATAACAATATTATGTGATTAAAATCCATATGCATCTCACAAAGTTTCCAAACCTGACCCATTCGATTTATATGCATCACAAGTATCAAGAATTAAGCTACTGGAACTTGATTAGGAAGCTGAGTGAGTAAGATACAACCTGCAATAGAGTTCAAGACCATTAGGTATTTATACTATAACTTATGTTTTTGTATTGATTATGACATCCTTAGGGTTTTATTAAATTGAGACAATCACTTGTACTAAAAAAGTTTCAAATATACTAGGAAATTCCGCATCAGTGATAATGCAAGCGTAAAACAAAGTTTTAGTTAGTTCTAAAAATTTGAGGATGTCACAGTAAGTATCAAACAGTTTGAATCTGATCGAGTTAGACCCAACCTTTTACAATACTCAATAAAAATCATATCAAGAACCTCTAAGCAAAGTCCTTCATACAACGAAATCATATTAAAATGAAGCTTGTATCCTAAATCATAAGATCATAAATGTTTAAATACAACAAATAGCAAACAAAGTAAAAACCATACATAAAACTTGCATGTGTAAGCATTGAAGTCATAGTTATGATCGACAACTCATATGGTAATAAAACATGTAGTTTGACTCACATTCGGTTTAACATATATATGTTGAGTTGCAAACATAATAGAAATATAAAATGATCATTTTCATCATTCAACATAGCAAATTAGACACATAATTAAACATCATGATTTCAGTCAGATGTAGATTCAATCATATACCCAGTCAGACTTCGATTTGGTTAGATCTGACTCAATCATCAATTATCAAACAACTCGTGAGTCAGATATGATCGAGTCAAGTGTGAGTTTTACTGAGTAAGAGACATTTTAAAGGAGTTAGTACCGAGTAAGTATCAAACAGTTTGAATCTGATCGAGTTAGACACAACCCTTTACAATACTCAATAAGTATCATATCAATAGCATTTAAGCGAAGTCCTTCATGCATCGAAATCATATGAAAATGAAGCTTGTATCCTAAATCATAGGATCATAAATGTTTTAATACGCAAACAAAGTACAAACCATACGGAAAACTTGCATGTGTAAGCATTGAAGTTATAATTATGATCGACAACTCATATGGTAATAAAACTTGCACGTGTGGTTATGTTCGTGCTTTTGGTTGATTAACCCATATGTTTCATATTTTAATATTCGTAAATCTAAAAGTTTAATGTGATTTATATTTGAAAATACATGTGGATGGGTGCTTGTCTCCCTCTCATTACATTCTTAACTTTCCCATGTGCAAAGTCTCATTATATTCTTCTACATTATAATCCAACTTGCCTTTTCCTTTTATTCAAAAATTCCCTCTTCCCTAAGTTTCCTTCCCCCTTTTACCAAATCAATAATCAAATTAATAATACATTATTTAGAAAAAAAAAACACAGTTTCCATTCAAGTCTTGATATAGTTTTTATTTATATCGACAAATATGAATCCTTTACAATATTTTATTTTATAATAACAAATCGAGTAAAATACAGAAATAGTCCCTATGATTTGGTCAAAATTGCAAGTTTGATTCCTAACTTTTTTTTGCACTCGGATCGTCCATGTGGTTTGATTTCGTTGCGTTTGTATCTCTATGGTTTGATTAAAATTGCACATTTGGTCCCTAACTTTATGTATGTAAGGGACGAAAAACGCAACAAAATCAAACCACATGGACGATCCGAGTGAAAAAAAAAATTAGATACTAAAGTGTACTTGACCAAACCATTTCAAATTTACTTTAACAAATATGAATGGGATATACATAATTCACAATACCTGTTTACATTGTTGATTGTTTATTTTGTTTTTGATACAGATTAATTCATTTAAAGTACTAGTTTTCATTTGATTGTGGGAAGTTCAGTTATGGTGTTTGGTGAATATTGTGACGTATAATGGTTTGTTCATGTTAATCAGTAATGAAAACTTTAATAGTGGAGTTAGTTTGTGAGAATCATGACATTCAAGGTGCTCGTAATGATTTTTCTTTAATTTGATAAAATTAAATAGTTATTTATGTAGAAACACAACATTTTGGTTCTAAATCGTTTTGAGATAACTCTAATGCGACGTATACATTTTATTTAACCACATAAACCAATATATTTACATTTATTTATAGATCAAAACAAAATTTTGCATAATAACAATAGAATTACATTTATCTTTATGCCCTTACATATGTTCTTATCTCTATAACTTTGGAAATAATCTTACGTATAAATTTAAATATATAATTTCAAAAAAGAAAAAAAAAAAAAACCAGCTTGTTTCAAAAGTGAGTTATTAAAAGTTATCCACCCGATATTTTCCTTTGGTAAAGCAAGAATGCGAATCTTATTTACTTTGTAGCAAATTATGGTCCTTCATAGTACTCAAATAAATACAATAAAGTTACATATTCAATATAATCCATCTACATATTTAAAATTAGAACTCAAAATAGATTCATTGAAGTTCCAATATTAAAAATTATCAAAACTTCACCATAATGTCAAAATTAGATGGGAAGATAATTGATCAAAATTCATTTAATCGGTCAACACATGTAACTTTTTAATATTAGTAATATTAAATTATTAATGAAGAGACTAGGTTGATCTATTAATATTTTCTTTAATGTGGCCAATTAATAAATGTGTGATTTTATCAATTATGATCATCAACTATATTATAAATTATAAAAATATAAAATAAAAGTAAGTTTTTAATTCTATAAAAAGAGCAATATTTGATGCGATTTGTTCTTTATAAAAAGAGGAGTTTAGAAAAAGTTTGGGCCGTGGGGTTGGGCCTGCTAAAAGGAAAAGCTTTGATAACTGCCCTTCGATAGGACACACAAAGATGGCTGATGGGAGTGTGTGTGAGAGAGAGAGAGAGAGAAAATAGAGATGCAATCGTCGTCGTCATCATCATCCTCGTTTATCATCAAACATAATTAGATTCGAGTATTGTGCAGTGGATACAACAGAAACAACACTCCGAGGCAAAAATCAAAGCACTTAGGCATTGGAAGGGGGGCCGGGGTGGTGTCAAAGAGGTTATGGTGTGGAGGAATTTGGGGAAAACAACGACGAGGAGGAGGAGCAAGGTTAATAATCTGATTTCATTCCTGTTGGTGTTGCTTTTCTCATTGATGTTCGACGTCTTCTCCGGTGGTGATGGTCGTCGGACAGGTTACGGTTTTGTTGAAGGCGCCGTTGGAAAAAGCGATGGAGGCTCTGGTGCGATTTTCTGGATTACCGGTGGTGGTGTTGGTGCTAGTGGTGGCTCTGGCTCCCAATCTAATGTTGGAATAGCTATCGCCATGACGGTCATGGCTGGCCTCGCCGTGGCCGCTACCCTCGTTTACTCTAATAGGTAAAAGAAGAAGAGAACATTTACAATTACTTCAATTAGTCGTCCTAATCGAAATAGATCAATCGGAACCCTAAGTTTCTAATTTCATTCCCTAGGCTCGTATAGATTATAGATATAGTTACTTCACATATAGAATTTACTAGAAAAAAGGAAAGATGTTGGCCTCACAACAGAAACATCATGTATTGAGAGCACTCCGGCGGAGTCACACTTCGTCACCATCATCTTCGAATTCGTCCTCTCCGACATCGTCGTCCTCGTCGTCATCGTGGATTCATTTGCGATCAGTTCTATTAGTCGTTGCTTCTTCATCATCATCCTCACCAATTTCTACTACTAGGTCAGTTCCCTCATTCCTCTTTCCTCCCCTTTCCAGATCTCGATCTCCAACTACTATCTTTTACACCAAAAAAAATGCACTGATCTCTTGTTTCTCTACTTGCTTAGCCGATCTGTTCTAGGTTTTTTTACTTCTGTATTCAAGACACCTACCTTTCACCAGATATTGTATTCCTCCTGTTTTTTTTTTTCAAGTTTCTAATGGAAGAAACATTCAAACTGCTATATTTTTTTTCCTTTTTCTTTTCTCCCAACGATAAAGATGTCTGCCATTTGTCCTAAAGCGTAACGACTTAATCCGATACTGTAGCTTCGGTTCTATTGACTTCCTTAAAATATTCAGAGAGGAACAGTCTTCTTCCACCATGGATTTGCGATAGTTCTGCCCCCTCATATGTCTTATAAAATTGTTGTATATAGAGATTTCGTTAACAACATGCTTCAGTATAATTGTAGCCTTATAGAGTGAAGGAGAGGGGTTGATGCCATGTTTTTGTTACAAAATACTTTATGCATCTTTTCAAATTCTTTCACTCTGTGTAAGACATGTTAATACTGTTCTATGTAAACTGTTAAGGATTTATCAATCTTCTGTTAAGTCATAAGTGTTAACTTAATAGTATCCAAAATATAACCCAACTTTAAAGTAAACCATGTAATTTTCAAACTCTGAAAACTGAAGAGACTGCAGACTAGATGTTTCTGAAGCCTACTATATCATCTACAGCTCCTTGTTATTCTGTTTGATTCTTGATCCTACAATAACTGTGTACACTCTCATGTGTTGTGATGTAGGGGTCACCTTCAATCCCCATGGTCAAAAAGGAGAAGAAAACATGCTCTTCAGCCAAAACAATGGAAAGCTTTATTTGATGAAGATGGAAGACTATGTGATGGCGGAGTAAAGTTCTTGAAGAAAGTTAGAAGTGGAGTATGTTTGATCTTTAATTTTCAGTTAACTTTCTGTTATCATATCCATTTTCGCATTTGCTTCTGTTATCTTATCATGTCTGCAATACTTCTTTACACAGGGTATTCATCCTAGCTTAAGAGCAGAAGTTTGGCCCTTCCTTCTTGGAGTGTAAGCGCCTAAAACCTATCTTACTCCCATGGCATTCTTCAAACTCATTTATAATGCATTTGAAAAGTAAACTCATTCTGTTATCTGAAACCCATCTTGCAGTTATGATCTTAAAAGTTCAAAAGAAGAACGAGATGCTGTTAAAACTAAGAACAAGAAAGAATACGAAAATCTTAGAAAACAGTGCCAACAAACTTACATACGAAGAGATAACAGCACTAACGACATAAGTGACACCAACCATGATGATGTCAGCAACACCAACAATAGTGGTGAAGTTGTGGACACAGATTCCCAACAAGTAAAAGAAGAAATCAGTGCCACCACCGCCACCACCACCAACAACAAAGAGGACAGCAAAGATGGTGATGATGTAAGCGAAGTGACTACCAAAACCGACACATGTTCATCTGATTCTGACTCCTCTGAAGAAACCGACAACATGGAACCCTCTCCCGCCACACCACAAAAACCGAAAACCACAGAAGAAGTCAAAAGTAAAACCTCACTTCCATACAGATCTGAAAGTTTCGCCACGTGGCAAAGAATCATCCGGCTGGACGCCATCCGGGCGAACGATGAATGGATCGTGTACTCTCCATCACAGGCATTGGTTTCGGTAACAAAAGCACAAGAATTAGCAAAAAGCGTAGTCCTAAAAGACTACACTCATCTCGAAACATGCAGAGTCTTCCATGCTGCACGTTTAGTTTCAATTCTAGAAGCGTACGCGTTATACGACTCAGAAATCGGCTACTGTCAAGGAATGAGCGACCTTCTCTCTCCAATCATCTCAGTGGTGGAGGACGACAGCGAGGCGTTCTGGTGCTTTGTTGGGTTCATGAAAAAAGCGCGCCATAACTTCCGGTTAGACGAGGTGGGGATCCGGCGGCAGTTGAATATTGTTTCCAAGATTATTAAAGGGAAGGATTCGCATCTGTACAGACACCTGGAGGAGCTGCAGGCGGAGGATTGTTTCTTTGTGTATAGGATGGTGGTGGTTTTGTTCAGACGGGAGTTGAATTTTGAACAGACGTTGTGTCTGTGGGAGGTGATGTGGGCGGATCAGACGGCCATCCGGGCGGGGATTACGAAATCCGGGTGGGGGAGGATGAGGCTGCGGGCCCCACCCACGGATGATCTGTTGCTGTATGCGATTGCGGCGTGTGTGTTGCAGAAGAGGAAGATGATAATAGAGAAGTATAGCAGTATGGATGAGATATTGAGGGAGTGTAATAGCATGGCTGGACATTTGGATGTTTGGAAGCTTCTGGATGATGCACATGATTTGGTGGTAACTCTTCATGACAAGATTTAGAACAACTTGCTTTTCTTAAATTTCTTCTTTTTATTTACAAAAAAATGTCTGTCTGTCTGTCTGTATCTGGTTTTGAATAAGTTACGGATATTCCTCAACTTTTGTGCCCGCACTCATCCCAACTGAGTGATGGTGGCTTTTTTCTAAAACTAATTCTCACAAATGTTTGTTGTTCTCGGAGAATGATTAGAATTTGTCAAAAAAATTCTGAGATATTTTATCCACAACTATGGTCATGGAGAAGTTATTGTATTGTTGTCCTTTGTTTCTGCTTTTGGAAAACCATATGCTTTTCGTTTTACTAATATGTCTTGGAGTTGGATGAATGACAGGAACATACCATATCATTTATTTTCTGGATTGAGGTATTGCTTCTAAATTTTCATTTTTTTTTTCCAAGATACGTATCAATTTATTATGCTGAATGATTTATTGATATTATTTTCCCGTTTTATAGTATTGTTATCTTTTTGTTGTAAAGCTCTTTTACCAGGCGAGTGAAACCAGAAAAAACGACAAAATTTTAAGGCTATGTGTTGGATTATTAAACCGAGATTAATTTTGTAGTGTTAGGAAAGCGTTTACTTTAATACACTAAAGACCAAATTAAATAAAGAAAAGGTGGGATTGGATCATTGTATGATCTATTTTAGGTACGACCTTGCTACAACATTGATCGCAGATCGTTTTTGGTTTGTGAAATCGTAGGATCATATCGATCAAAAGATTAAGATCTCTATATTAACGACGTTTTGGTTTGTGAAATCCTAGGATCATATCTATCAAAAGATTAAGATCTCTATCTTAACGACACCGTTTTTTTTTTATAGATATGGTAAAATAGTTTCATTTTCATTTTTAATGCCAGTAAAACTTAAACTAGTTAGATCAAATCTCACTTGATATTGTTTTGGCATCATCACCAGGTTCATGAAAGTAATGCTTGACAAAAATAGTCATCAATTTTGATGGATTGGTTCTAGTGAAGTACCAAACCAAATTCAGTAATACATTGAAAAGTAAAAGATTGGTCAAAAAGGAAAGGCTCCGTTGACAATTATATTCGATTTTGAGTCAACTAGATTTATCGATTTAAAATTTAATTCAAAGTTCAACTATATTGAATTTTGATGAGAATCAACTAGATTTAAAGATTTAAAAATTAATTCAAAGATGAATGTTGTTTCGATAATTCTAGCATTTACGGTTCATTTTCCAAATGATAGCAATATAATTGCAATTGTTGTAAGTTGTAACTTCGATCTCGTCATATAAACTTTTGTTTTATGGGTCATAATTTGCTGAAACTAATAAACCATTGAAGATCCTACCTTAAAAATAGAGGCATAATTTCTTTTTAGATAAGTGAAAAATTGAGTTCCTTTAAATTTTTACAAGATGATGATAGTTGCCATTTTAATTTATTTTTAAGCTTGTTAACAAATAAACTTGTGAACATAATTATTCCACTCCCACCCTTAAATTAATTTTTTTTGGGACGACCATGATGAAACCCCCTCTTTTTGACTATTAACCTGCTAATGAAAAACTGACACATCTATTATCTCTTGATCTCCCGATGTATTCTTTATCACACATTGTTGATGATATCAGACTCGACAAAGAGACGGTGGTTAGGAAGAGTATGATGAAGTAATTTGTGTTTCAAATCTGGTAATAATAATAATAGAAATAATAACTAGAAAAACATTTACATGCCTCACGACTTTAAACTAAGTGGTCTCCATTTCAAAAGACTAAAAGATAAATAGATAATAAACCTAATGTTTTAAAAGATAAAAATATTAATCTCAAAAGACCAAAAGATAAACCTAATGATTTTAAAAATGCAACTATTAATCTGTATTGGTAAAAGTAAAAAAAAAAAAACCATGCAAACAAAATATGTAAATCTCAAAATTTTATTACAAAATGTAACATTTTGTAGCAGTATGATATGTTCCAAGAAGCTAATTTTAAAATAAATAAATAAATTATGTTTTTTTAAAACGACAAATCTATTCTACTCTTAAACTACTCCTAATTCCGAACCTTCAACCTCTAGAAGGGAGGACAACACCCGATACCGCTGGGTAGAAACCCTTTGGTAAATAAATAATGTAATTCTCAAACTTTTTGTTAGACCATCTCAAACACATCTTCATTTTTTTTTTCTATTTTTTTCTCCAAAAAGTATATTTCTAGAATATTTCATTTTTATAACTTTTATATATTTATATATATATATATATATATATATATATATATATATATATATATATATATATATATATATATATATTGCAAAATACACCACTCCATTAATTAGATTTTAACAAATACTATATATTATATTTTTTTATTACAAAAATTGTGACATCCCCAAAATCTCGGCCAGAAAAGACCGATTTTCATTTATGCTTTTAAAATAATTTCAGAGTAAATCCTTTTGATTTGAAAGAGTTGCGGAATTTGTTCCCAAAAACAAAACATGATAAATCAATGTTTACCAAAGCATGTCATAAAAGAAATGTATTTTCATTATATAATCAAAACTCGGGGTGTCATGTTCCGATACAGACCAATAAGCATAAACGATAACATTACAAGTTATTCAACAAATATATACATATACAGACTTGTAAACAAAACAACTTGATAGTTCATCTATCTTACGCCCTTGCGTCACTTCCTGTAATACACATAAAACTGAGTGGGTCAGGCTTGAGAGCCTGGTGAGCATATAGGGTTTTCAACCCACAATAAGTAATTAAATTAATTTTCATCAACCAACAATAACCCAATTACCCATTCCCGTTATTCTCACTTTATGTCCCTAAAATAACTAACACAAGGGACCTAGTCTAAGAATATTTCATCGGGGTGACAACACATTCTTCGGGGGTTCCTCAACAATATAAATCAAATAAGGCAACCATGAGGGGGATGGAATACAGCGAATGAACACCCAAGTTCATTAACACCTACAGGTTATGAGCCTGCTAGCGTTCCACGGGACTGTCTAGAAAAGTCCGTGGTTGTCATCTAAATTCCGCTAGATGACTGGATCAAAACAACATCGAGGCCTCTCATCTGTTTATTACACACCAACTATCTACCCATGTTCTACCCAACATATTAGTAGATAAAATATACATTTTTATACATAGTTTCAAAACCTGTATAGCATGCTCAATCAATACATTTTCCACATAACAGATGAGGCACACACACATAACACGTATTTCGTAGATAAATAATCAGATATATAAGATAGAAGAAAGTGAATATATATTCACACACATAACAACAAAATATACACATAACACGTATTTCGTATAAAATACTTCATAATTATGCGTTTAGAAGAAAGTAACTACACACTCACACATATAAACAACAATATACTCAATACACTCAAACTATACTTGTATTATTATCGTGTTTATTAAAGGTAGTATACACTCACTTGATCAGAAGATGATCGGACAACACTACGACTTGCAAAAGTAGTAATCCTCAGCAGATCTGGAAGATCTCTACAAAAATCGAACTTCTCGCGGGCAGAGCTTCGGCTCGGAAACCTCACTTCTCGGGATCTTCGGGATCTCGGGACTTGCTTCGGGACTCGGGAATATTACCGGGGCTTCGGGGTATTTCTGGCACGCAAAACGATGCAAAACGGGAGAGAGAAGAGAGAAAAATAGCAAAGAAACTCGGCAGCCTCGCATCTTATTTATAGGAGGCTGGAGCCTCGGAGTACGCGGGGCGTACTGCTCCGAATTTGTCACTGCATGCGTCATCCGAAGTCCTCGAGTGCGAGTGTCGACATTCTTCGCTGTACGCGGGGTGTACACTGTTGGATTAATGTCTAAGTCCATAACTATAATTGGTAAGACTTGACCCGACCCGGCATGGTCCATTTGGGTTGCATGGCATCATGCACTTGGGTAGACTATAATGAGAGAAATAAGACACTAATGGTTATTAATATATTATAAGCTCTAGTATATTAATAATAAGAATAATAAGATTATTTAATTAGTATTGATCAAGAATTAATCTAGGATTAATTAAGTGATCAAAAGAAGACTAATTAAATATATGGGTTGATTGTGTAAATCATCCATACTTATATAGTGGGCTAATGCTCCATGGATTATCTAGTTGGGCCAAAACCCATATGATGCTCCATGGATGCTCCATGGTGTATTTGAACCCATGGATCCAAGGAAATGGAAAGTCATGACAATTAGGGTTTACCCTAATTGTAACACTATATAAAGATATTATTCTTCCCAAAATCGGTGACTAGAATATACTAGAGAGGGCTAACCGATTTCATGAAGTGTTCTAGTTTCTCTCAAGTTATTCCAAGTGTATTTGGTGTTGTGTGAACCATTTGAGGTCACCACTTGAGGTGCTAGGCTCACAAGCTTCAAGGAACACAAGCAACAACAAGGTATGTATTCTATCTTGTTATATTGATATATTGTATGCTAGATTAGGATAATACCTTGGATGTTCATATTTGCATGTATAATAGAGAAAACATAGATCCAAGGTATTTAGGGTTGCATGTACACTTAGGAGTGTTAGAATGCTCATAACCCAACAGTGGTATCAGAGCCTAGGCTTGTTTTCTTGTTATACCTGCAATAGAAGCTGAAAAATCGAGTTTTGATGCTGTCAGCCCAGCTGACTCGCCGAGTCCATGAAGGGACTCGACGAGTCCAAGGCAAAATGCATCCAACTCGCCGAGTTGTGTTCATGCACTCGACGAGTTGGACCCCAGACAGCATATCTTCGAGGTTTTTGGCTAGAAATGGACTAGGAACATTACCCTAAGTTGTTTTGAACTTATAAACTTGTTTTTAAATGTGGTAATGTTCATGCTAATCCATTTTCAAGATAATTGTCAATAGATTCATGTTTTGTATTAGTTTAAAGGTTAGACTAATTACATGAAAAAGTTTGATTTGAATTATCTTGTTCTTATGAGTTGCTTAGATTAATAGAAAAGTTGAGTGAAAAAGTTGTTTTCAATCCAAATTAATCTAAGAGTTGAGTATAAAATGTGTTTGTGTAACTTATCCTTAAGTTACATGAAGAGTCACATTAAAGACTCATAAAACTCATAAAGTTGGCAAAGGTTACAAAAAGATGAAGAGTCTTGTCCTTAAGTTATGGAGGTTCAAGAGTCACTTCATTAATAAATAAATAAATAAAATATGTAACCTTAATTAATTCCATAAGTTATAAAATAAAGAAAAGATTAATTCTTTATTAGTTTAAAGTCTTCCATAATTTGTCCACAAGTTATGGAACTTGA